TGAAGGGCCGCAGCTACTTTAGATTCCAAAACAGGGCAGGGGAACTGTATACCTGCTGGGCTTTCTTGTCATTTGATCCTACCTCAGGCAGGCACATAGAAGTCTCATGGGCGCCAGTGGTTGGAGCCTGGGAGGCCAGGACCCCAGCTCTGCTCTCTGCACTGGGGCTGTCTCTGCCAGCCACTGTTTCCCAGTGCCTCTGCCCAGAGCAGTCTCCTAGTCTAGATGCCCTTTCAAGCCCTGACTCAGGTGCTGCCCCCTGGCTGATGCATCACCACTGGCCTATGGCTTGTAAATAGCAACTGTTGTGTCTCTTCGAGATGGTGACTCTTCCTCCAAGTAGACATGGCACTTGTCAGGGTCCAAGGAGTATCTTGTAGAGGGGACAGAACTTCAGATCCCACTCTGCTCCAGCCCCTAGCTGGCTAGCTGATTGCAGTGCATAGTGTTTTCAAGGTAGTCCTAATCAACTGTTCCCACAGTAAGGTGGCTACAACTTCTAAAGATGCAAATCATCTCCCCTAAACATTCATCCCGCCCTCCTTCCCTACATTTCTTCTTCCTTACCACTTACTGCAATGTTTCACTTATTTACCTCACTTGCTATCTGTTTCCCCACCTCTAACATTTAAACTATAAAAAATCTTTTTTATGTTTGTCCTGAGACCACGCCTGACTCATGGTGGACATTCAAAAAGTATTTGTTGAATGAATGTAACAGTGAAATCTAGTGTCCTTCCCTCTATCCATTCTAAGGGATTTCCCAAAGCAGTCAGGGATAAGAAGAGGACAAGGATGTCTGGCATCTCCTATTAGCTCCTGTGCTGTAGAATGGTGAAAGCTGGATTCTCACAGCATTGTCCCTGCACCCTTTTATTTCCCTCATTTATTTGTTGTCTATTTTAACTGTACTCTTCCTACTTCGCTTTCCTGTCATGTTACTTGGCCAAGAGGACAGCAAGGCAATGGGGTGGGGGTGGAGTTGGGCAGGAGGCTGCTGATCAATATCCCTTGCTGCTGGTTGTTCTTTAGGATTGGGGCTGGTTCCCCGTGCAAGATCCTGGGATCCCCTAGAATGGCCCCCAACTGAGGATGATGACAACACTGTGAGACACCCAAAGAGGTCCCGGACTATGTTAAACTTGGAGCAGGTACAAGAGCTGGAGAAAGTGTTTGCAAAACAGCACAGTTTGGTGGGGAAGAAGAGGGCCCAACTGGCAGCCCGGCTCAACCTCACCGAGAACCAGGTGGGTGCAGAGGCTAGGGGGCCCTGGGCTGCATCTGGGGACAGCGGAAGTCTCTGTGTCAGGGGAGTTGAAGACATGGACCTCCTTCCTCTGTGCCAGATTTTTACAGAAGACACTCCCTACCTTTTTGCACATTCCTTACGCAAAGAGAGACGATGCATTTGAAGTCACCGTAAGGACAATATGATACTAATTTAATTATTTATCTAGAATAATGAAATATTTCCATGCTAAATAAGGAGCTACCAGTAAAATCAAATAGTTATTTAAGAGGCTAGATATTTCAAAAATAATAACTGTTCCCTTGACCCCTGTAGTCCTTTCCAGCTATTTTCACATTTCTCTGCTCCTTTCATGGGCAAACTTCTCAAGAACTTGCTGTGTTTACTCTCATCCTGGCCTCGCTACCATAACTCATTGCCCCTGCTCCCTCCTGCCTTTCCCTGCCCTCTCTGCTAGATCTCATTTGAGCCCCTGCTGCCAAAACCAGCAGGTGCTTTCCTGTCCTCCCTGAACTGCAGCATCAAACAGCTCTCTCTTTCTCGTGACTACCAGACTTTCTTGGTTTTCCTCCCAGTTCTCTGGTCACTTCTGTCTCTTTCTCCATCTACGGACCTCAGAATCTCCCAGCTGGTCACATACTATTCCTGTAGCCAAAATACCATCTGCAGGCTGATAATTCCCACACAGCTGCCCTCCACTCAACTTACTCTGATGACTGTTATATCTAATGGCCTTCTTGATGTCTCCATTTCCATGTCTCAAGGGGAGAATTTTAAACTTGGCAAGCTTAAACCCCAGCTCTTGGTTTTTTCCCCTCCCCACATCTGTTCCTTTCCTCACAAGTGGGCCCCTGTCCATTAAGTTGTTTAAAAAGATCCCTGTTCATGCCAGATTCTTCTCCTGTACTTCCAGCCATCAGCAAGCCTTTCACTGTTACCTCCAAAATACATTTCTGCATTTCTCAATGTTCCAGTTTACACCATCCTCTCCCAATGCTTGCAGGATCACCTCGGCAGCCCCCCAACTTCTGCCTTCACCCATTCATTATACAACAGCCAGTTGTACAACCCAGATAAAATGTAACCAGAACTACATCATGTCCTATTTATATTTTTAAAGATTTATTTCTTTAACTTGACAGGCAGAGAGCGAGAGCAAGAGCGCTTTATTCTTTGGTTTATTCCCCAAATGGCTGCAATGGCTAGGGTTGATCCAGGCTGAAGCCAGGAACATGGGACTCCATCCATATCTTTCACAAGGGTAGCAGGAGCCTCTTCCACTGCTTTGTCAGTTCATTAGTAGGGGGCTGCATTGGAATAAGGATAGCTGTGACTTGAACCAGGGGTCCTATAGGGATGCTGGCATGGCAAGGGGTGCTTATCCTGCTGCACCACAATGTTGGGGTTCCTGCCACCCTTTCCCATTTTCCCTCCTATTGCCTCCTCCTCTACAAGCTATGCTCTCCTCTCACCTCCAACCCTCCTGCTCTGGCTCCTCAGTACTGCCCTCCAGGCTGTCCCCACCACCCCAGCCTCTCATCCTTCGAGCCTCAGCTTCAGTTCTTCAGGGAGGCCCCTCTCCGCAACCTAGCTTGTCCCCACTTATATTTGTTTATTTGCTCACCAGACTCTCTCCAGTAGTGGGCAGCCTGAAGAAGCAGGGACCACACATCTGCCACTTACCACTCTGTCACCATGATCTAGGATGGCATCTAGCACCTAGCAGGAGCTCAGCAATCCTCTCTGGGTACATGAAGGGACTGGAGTCACAGTAAAGGGTGTTCTGGAAAAAGAACAGATATATATATATATATATATATATATATATATATATATATATACACACACACACACATATATTTGGCCCAGGCCGGAAGGGGTGGGCCCTCTGAGCAATGGGGAGCATCCTGGCACATTCTGATATTTACCTCCTGCCCTCATTTACAGGTGAGGGTGTGGTTCCAAAACCGCAGGGTCAAGTACTACAAACAGCTAAAGCTGCAAACCATCCCCGCCTGCCTGGATGAGCCCTCGAGCAGCTCCGATGCCACCAGGCAGAATGAAGACATCCAGGCAAGAGTTGACAACTGAGGACAGGACATAGGTGCCTCCCACCCCGGGCCGTCTCTGGGCTCCTTTCTCCCCAGGACAAGACACACCAGGGCCAAAGAGCATCGGAGAAATCAGGACTGTCAAGCAGGGGCTCCTCTCCTGGATGTAATACTTTAAAGCACAGCCTAGAGCCTTCAGCTGTGTCCTCGGCTAAGTTACCGAAGTGAGCCAAATTTCTGTACCCATGCTAACAGCAGCATTGCTAACGTCCCTGCTGCTGACACGATGCTTTGGGAAGCACTTGCTGTGTGCCAAGTCTGGCAACAGGGTGTGGTTGAAGTTAAGGCTGATCGCTCCCCACCCGAGATGCTGGCTACCAGCATTTTCAAAGCTGATTTATGCAACACAGACCACTTAGATTCTAGAGGGGGTCCTGAGGGCGGAGGCCAGGCCTCCTGGTGGCTCCCAGAGCCCTTTTCTGAGGCAAGCAAAGGAGAAGTGGCCTACAGAAGGGCCTAGAACCAGCCCTACTCTGACCAAAGTTAACAGTAAATGAAAGGAAACTGGCTGCAGGTGGCTTCCAAGAAATGGCTCTCAAGGGGAGGGGCACATACCAAGTTACCTGTCCAGCAGTGACTGGGCTCCCTCCAGTCTCCCAACACCACCATGAGCCCACGGTGTGTGCTGACACAGCTCTCTTCAAGGAACAAAGAATCAACTGGGGGGACACAAAAATAAAGTAAGGCACAGAGGTGAGGCTAGCTGTGGGTCATGCTGGCTGCAGGCCAGTGTTTCCTAGTCTTCTGGAGCTTTTGAAGGAAAGAACTTGCCTCTCTTCCACTTTCTCAATGATGCCTGTCACACTTCTGCACCCACCTTCTGCATCTCAGACCTGAAATCCACTGTGGACTCTTTATTTTTTAAGATTTACTTATTTAATTGAAAGAGTATCTTTCATCCACTAGGTTCTTTCACCAGTTGGCAACAAAGACAGGAGCTGGGATGGTTCAAAGCTAGAAGCCAAGAACTTCTCCCAGGTCTCCCATGCAGGTGGCAGGGAGGGGCCCAAGCTACTCTGGCCCTCAATTGTTGCTTTCCCAGGCATATTAGCAGGGAGCTGGATGGGAAGTGGAGTAGCTAGGACTCAAACTGGCATCAGGCTGCAGTCTTAATTCGCAATGCCACAGTCCCAGTCCCCAGATCCCTGAATCTACTGGAGAATCTGACTCTAGGACTCTCTGATTTCAAATTCCCCTGAATACAGCATGTTTTGATGTCAGGGGTGGTGTGGAGCAGCCCCAGGGTATTAGCTAGTCCTTACTTGCAAGCTGAGGGCCGGAGAGGACAGGCGCGAGTCGGCCCTCTGTTGTCCCACACCTCGGCTAGGACCAAAAAAGCTCCTATTCGGTCACACAGCTCTCGGTGCGGCGATGCCAGGGGTAGTCATAGGTGCGCGCGTACACATACATTGGGACCTGCTCACACACAGGCAGCGGCACACGCCAGCCACAGAGCGCTTCGAGACCTCAGAGGGGGTAAACGCACAAAGGCAGGTCCCGTGACACCCGTTTCACGAGCTAAGGGACTTACAAACGCCGACTCGCCAGAGCGCAAAGCCGCGCAAACACTCGCGCGCTTCTCCAGCCGGAGGAGGGGCGGGGCCTCCAGGGTCGGCGACGGGGTCAAGGGTCAGAAGGCGGAGGCGCGCCCAAGATGGCGGCCTCCATGTGCGACGTGTTCTCCTTCTGCGTGGGCGTGGCGGGTCGGGCCCGGGTCGCCGTGGAAGTCCGTTTCGTGAGCAGCGCCAAGGTGAGGACCGGGGTGGACCTCGCTGGGACACCCCCACCGCATCCCGGCTTTGAAGGCCAGCTCCTGGGGGCTCCTGTGCTGCGCGGACGCTGCGGCCCTGTCCCCACCCGTTAGGTTCCTGGCTCGATCCTGCCGTGGATCGAGGCTCCCGGGGTCTCCGTGCTCGGCGGCTCGCAGCGGAACCCGGTCGGGCCGCCAGCCATGCTGCGGCGGCAGCTCGGGGCGGGGTTGGTGGGCCTGGTTGAGCAGGGTCGTGCCTGACAGAGAGCCGAGGTAGAAAAAGGCGTGGGTCTTGAGGGAACTTTCCGAGGGAGGTGAAGCCGAGAGTGGAGGAGGAGAGAGGCTGGATCCTTGCAGAGCGGAAGAATTTGGAGCAGAGCCCAAAGGCGGGACGGGACGGGGCGGGGGTGGGGTGGGGTGGGGTAGGGGTGGCATTTGAAGAGTTTCAAGCAAGAAAATGACATCATTGTGTCATTTTTTCAATCGCCGTGTTTTAAAAGTTCATTGTGGAAAACAAAAATTCAAAGGAGGGAGGAAAAAGTAATCTTTCCCAGTTCTCTTCACTTGTTCTGCAAGAATATGCACATTCAGATGATGAAGCGGCAGAAGGAGGGTAGTTTGTAACCTGAGGGCCACCATTCGGTGGAGCAGTCTTTGGGCCCTTCTCATCCTTTTTTGGTCACTGCAGGATCAGATATCTTGTTCAGTTTCTGTACAAACATCCTTTCATCACTGTTTTTCTTTCCTAGTTATCTTTTCCCTTTGATTTTTTTGGAGGGGGGAGGTTTCCTGGTGGGATGGTGTAACTGGCCGTGTGTGCTGACTGAGGCACTCGGGTTCTTGTCCAGCAATGGTAGGCCTCTGGTGAAACGCACCCTGCTCTCAGCATCTTCACATTGACCCGGTTTCCCAGTCCAGCCTTCCCTCACTCTCTGGCCTTCCCTGGGAAGCTGTACCCCTGTCCGCTTGGTCTCAAGCTTTTGCTCACACAGCTGGTGCTGTTGGGTGGCCCACGCGGTGATAGTCTCAGTTCCACTCAGGCCTGTTCTGGCAGAACTCCTCAGTCTTCCTGTAACAGCCATTTATCAGAATCCCATCTAGTCCCCGTCTCCAGGTCCACGTCTGACCCACTGCTGGACAAAACCACACACTTCCCTGGACTTGCAAACAAGTTTTGGATTATTTTCCCCTGAGTTTTTTATGTCTCTATAGTTATCAAGTCAGATTGATTTGTGTTTTTTTTTTTTTTTTTTTTGTCTTTGTGCTCCTTCAGGTGAACACATGGACATTCAGCTTATTTTTTTTTTTTTTTGGTAAAATGGAGAAGCTTTCTACTTTTCTTTCTCTGTAACTCAGTAGTTTAAATAGCATGAAATGACTAATTTTTTGAAAACTGCAGGGAACTGGCTCAATGAAGCTAGATTGACAAAGGGCATCATGGGATATGTTTTGGGTCGGTTTTTATTGCTTTTATGGATATTGGTAGGAATGGTTTTAAAAATTTGCCAATTATGATGCCAGGGATACAGCTATGCTTGGTGGATGTCTCCTGCAATGTCCTACTGATTTCTTTAACCACTGCGCCACCGCGCCGGGCCCAATGTCCTACTGATTTCATGCTACCCAGATGGCATCACGCTTATTAGCCTGGGCTTTGTACCTTTTGAATTCAGTCTTGTCCATTTGTGTTTTTCTAGAAAATCCCTGTTTAATCAAATTTTGTAGTCTTCTTTTTTTTTAATGATGTATTTTTTAAAGAATTATTTTTATTGGAAAGGCAGATTTCCAGAGAGAAAGAGAGACAGAAAGTTCTTTTCATTAGTCGACTCACTCTCCAAATGGCTGCAACAACTAGAACTGGGGCCAAATGCAAAGGCAGGAGCCTCTTCAGGTCTCCCACATGAGTACAGGGTCCCAAGCCTTTGGGCCATCCTCCTTTGCTTTCCTGGGCTGTAAACAGGGAGCTGGATGGGAAACGAAACAACTGGGATATATGAGTGCTGGTTGTGGCAGGTGGAAGATTAGCCAGTTTAACCATTGTACCAGCCCTTGCAGTCTCTTACAAATGGGCCTTTTCTGGTCTGGCACAGTGGTAAAGTCCTCGCCTTGCACGCGCCTGGATCCCATATGGCTGCTGTTTTGTTTGTTTGGTTGTTTGTTGTCGCTAGTTCTAATCCAGGCGGCCTCACTTCTCAACCAGCTCCCTGCTTGTGGCCTGGGAAAGCAGTTGAGGACGGCCCAAAGCCTTGGGACATTGCACCCATGTGGGAGACCTGGAGGAATTTCTGAGCTTCTGTCTTTGGATTGGTTCAGCTCTGGCCATTGTGGCCACTTGGGGAGTGAATCATCAGATGAAAGATCTTTTTGTCTCTTTTTCTCTCTGTTTATCTGACTTTCCAATAAAAATAATATAAATCTTTAAAAAAATGTCTTTATCTGCCTGGGGGAGAAGTGTCTTCATAAAAGACCAACCCTTGATTCTTTTCCATTGGTTTTGATTACTGCACTGGACCTCAGGAAAAAAAGAAGAGATCTCTATCTACCTGATACTGAGAGCTGGGATTGTCACATTGCTGGAGTTCTTGTTTAGAGGAGGGCTGGGTTTTTACTTTACTCCATTGGTGCCAGGGGCTGTAAGGCATGGGGGTATGGCTTTGGGGGAGAGGAAAACAGCTCCTGCCACCTGCTCTTGTTTCACATCTTCTGTTCTGCTGGTAGGGTCAACACCACTCCTGGCTCATGGATTGCTCAGGGCCTGCGCCATCTTGTTCTGAGTTCCATGCTAAAAGGAAGCAGGAAGCGACTTGGGATGTTATAATGACAGGACATTCTGCTGCCGGACCAAGCTTTTTCTTTTCTTTTTTTTTTTTTTTAAGTTTCTCTCTGTTGTAGTAGCTCAGTGTTGGCAGGGACACCACCTCTCTTGTCCCAATAAGGTGGTGGGTGTAAGTGTACAGTGTGCCTGATGACTGCCTGAATTCTGAAGCCCATCCCCTGAGTCCTCTCACACATTTGAGAGAAACCAGATCATCCATCCCTTCCCAGAGGTGTCTAGTATACTGGACTAGGGCTTCTCAAATTTTAATATGCATATGAATTACCCATGTACCTTCTGGAAATATAGATTCTGATTGAGCTGGCCTGGAATAAGGCCTGAGGTTCTGTATTTCTGAACTAGGAGCACAGCGACACCCGTGTTGCCTGTCTACTTCCTTCACATTAAGTTGTAAGGAGCCAGAGCTCATGAGCTAATTAGCCTGTATTGTACCCTCACATCCAGGTAGGATTTACTGAAATACTCCTGGGAAGCGGAGGCGAAGAATTAAAGTGAGTGTCTCCAAGGCATACTGCAGTGAACATTAGAACGAGGGCTAGAATAACTTGTTCCTTTCAGTGAAGCCCCTAAGAACTTGGCAGGCACTGTGCCAGGTGCTGTGGGCCTCAACTGATCAAGGAAGAAGGCATGTTCTTCCCCAGAGTAGGCCCCCTTTCCCCATGTTCTGCCATTTATCTGCCACACTACCAGGATCCTGGAGGGACACATAGCTGACTTAGAGACAGGGGCTTGCTGTTACAGCTCCTGGAGGAGGTGACACAAGGTCCCAGGCAGCCAGAACGTTGGCTCTTCTCTGCACAGTCTGCTCCTCTTGGAGCAGTCTGTCCTTCACAGGTCTTCCTCTCTGAATGCATGTGACTGAAAGCAGGTCAGAGCTGCCTCTCCCGAGGAACAGTTGTGGAGGGTGCCCTAGGAGGCTGGTGGAGCCACTCCCTGTGCCCTTGGTTAGGTCTCTGCTGTTCTCGCTGTCATTCTAGGGAAAGGGACTGTTTGCCACACAGCTGATCCGGAAGGGGGAGACCATCTTTGTTGAACGGCCCCTAGTGGCTGCACAGTTTCTCTGGAATGCACTTTATCGCTACCGAGGTAAGTACATCTTAACCACCTCTGTGGCTCTGGGGCCAGTGACTTTTGTGTGGAAGACAGCCGTGTGCATCCCTAGTGGCCGATATATCTAGAACACCAGGTGCTGAGGGAAAAGATGTCTTCCCCTGAGACCTGTGGCTGCATACCACCCCTCTGTCCATCCTCCACGTTGGGAGCTGGGTGGCAGGATTTGGTGTTTAGCCCTGTGGGCTAGTAGATGGTGTGCTGAAGGACTTCATGCCCATGTGGGCCCTCCACCAAGAAGGGACATATGTCTCTTGCTCAAAGAGTTTGGGGGTCAGTAGCATATAGTGTTGGGCAAGTATTTTCGCACATGGGTTAAACTGCCACTTAGGATGCCTATATCCTATGTCAGAGTGCCTGGGATTCTGTCCCACATCCAGTTGCAATCATTTTCCTTCCAGCATTTCTTGTAGGGAGCAGATGACCCAAGTCCTTGCCACCTGTGTGAGAGAGTCGGGTTCTTGGCTCCTGGCTTCAGTCTGGCCACCCTTGAGTGTTGCAGGCTTTTAAGGAGTGACTCAGTGGATGGAATAGAATATCTATCCATCTCTTTTTGTTTTTCAGTCACTCTGCCTTTCAAATGAGCAAATCTTTCTTTAAAAAAAAAATCAGTAGCAGATGGTAGCAGCTTTGTTGGCTGTATACTCTTTTTACACTTACCACACTAGAGTCTAATGGAGAGGAGGGTCATTGGCTACTGAATGAAGGCAAAGTTCCACGTGGAGGTGTTTGGAGGAGTGCAGACAGAGAAGCATGGAAAGCTGGATAGGAAGGGTTGGGCAGTTCCTGAGAGGGAGGAGCAGATCACTCCCTAAAGATGCACTGTGGAATTCATTTGTTCATTCACGCTTTCATTCATTCATGTGGTCCTTTATTTACTCCATATATATATATATATATATATACATTTGTTTTATTTGTTTTTAATCGAAAGGCAGAGTTACAAAGAGAGAAAGGGAGAGAGAGAGAGAAGTCTTCTATTTGCCAGTTCACTCCCAAAATGGCTATAATGGTTGGATCTGTGCCTGTCCAAAGCCAGGAGCCTGGTGCTTCTTCCAGGTCTCCCATGTGGGTGCAGGGACCCAAGCACTTTTCCAGTGCTTTCTCAGGAGCATTAGCAGTGAGCTGAGTTGGAAGTAGAACAGCTGGGACTTAAACTACTACCCATATGGTATATCAGCACCACAGGTCAAGGCTTAACTTGCTACACCACAGTACTGTCCCCATGTTCTCCACATGTTTTATGGAATGTATGCAGTGTGCCAGGTACCCTTCTAGCCCTTTGCTTTGAAAAGGAAAGATGTGGCTTTCGACATGTTGTCCTGTGTGGCTCACACCCTCAGCCTGTGACCACTGCCTTCGAGCACTGGAGAAGGCAGAAGAGAATGCGCAGAGGCTCACTGGGAAGCCAGGCCAAGTGTTGCCTCATCCGGAGCTATGCACTGTGCGCAAGGACCTCCACCAGCACTGTCCCCACTGCCAGGTGAGCATCTGGGGGAGTGTACCTGGAAGAGGGCAGGTGAGGGTGCTTTGGCTGAATTCTTCACTGGGGAGGCCCATCTAACCTTGGCCCATGAGAACCACAGCATTGAGTAAGACACTGAAAAGGCTCAGATAGTGTTCTGGTTTCATCTTCACTGCCCCAGCTCTGCTGTCTAGAGAATAGACCTGGTGAATGCTTGCCTTCTTCCGCTGCCTGAAAAGCTCTCTCTCCTTCCCATGGGTTCCCAGGCCTGGCTCAGGGGCGCCTCCCATAGGCCCCAGGGCATCTATGTTTTCTCATCTCCATAGTACCTTTGAGTTGCAGTTCCAGGCCTGTGTTGCGGGACTGCGAGAAGTGAGGACCACATGGGAAGCCTGTGCCTCGCTGCCGCACTTCCTGGGGGTGCTGACCTCCCCACTGCCCAACAGGTGATGTATTGCAGTGCAGAATGTCGGCTGGCGGCTGCTGAACAGTACCATCAGGTCCTGTGCCTGGGCCCCTCGCAGGATGACCCCTTGCATCCTCTCAATAAGCTGCAGGAGGCATGGAGGTAGGTCCCCTCCTTTCCCTTATCTTTCCCTCCCTGTCTGCCTGGGGTCAGCAGATGTTGTCCTCTTCCTCATGCTTCCAGCACCCCCAGATTTCTCCTGCATTCTTAGCAGTCACAGTACCTTTACTCTGGGCTGCCGCTCCAGCCAGCCTCAGTAAAAGATCCTTAGACTGAGTTGCACTAAGCCCATAGGCTGTAGAGTCCTGCCTCGGCTCCTCTCTGTGACTGCTTGTCCTTGCATATTGATGGTATTGGCACAAAGGTTTCTCTCTCGGTAGCCTTCGGGCTGGGCTTCCCTGAGCTCAGCTGCTGTGGAGAGCACTTTATTTTCCTTTCTTGGTTCTTAATTGGCATACCATCATGCACATTTCTGGGGTATCCAATGTGTGATCAAATCAGGGTAATTAATGTTTCCCATCTTTTAGCATTTATTATGTCTTATTGTTGAGGACCTTCAAATTCATCTGTTCTAGTTGTTTATGAAGTGATACAATTGTGATTCAGGTCATCCTGTGCTATAGAATGCAAGTGCTTGCTCCTCCTCTGCAGCTGTAACTTGGTGTCCGCTGTCTGATCTTTTCCAACTCCCCTTCACCCTACCTTCCCAGTTTTTTAGGAATTAATATTTTACATGTGAGAGAAATGTGGTATTTGTTTTTCTGTTTGGCTTGTTTTACCTAATGTAATATTCTCCCAGCCTGTCATATGTTGCCATAAATGACAGTTTCATTATTTTTTTGTAGCTGATTAATACTCCATTCCCTAAATATTGTGTTTTCTTTATCTGGTCACCCCTCCATAGACACCTTGGTTGATTCCATATCTTGATTATTGTGAATGGCACTGAAATGGATAGGGGAGTTCAGGTATCTCTTTAATACGCTGATTTCATTTTCTTTGGAATACGCCCCAAAGTGGGAAAGTTGTATCATATGGTAGACCAGTTTTTAATTTCCTCAGGAACATTTATCCTGTTTTCTGTAGTGGCTGTGCTAATTTTCATTCCCACCAACGACATTATAAAAAGTGTCACATTTTTTTGCATCCTTAGGGAGAAAATTCTCAGGCAGACTTTTTCTTTTTCCTCAGGAGTGTTCACTATCCCCCCGAGACTGCAAGCATCATGTTGATGGCCCGGATGGTGGCCACGGTGAAGCAGGTGAGCCCACCTGGTCCTCCCCAAGATAGCTTCCTGGCCCCATTTAGTCCTCGGGCTCAGACCCCTCATATCAAGGCCCCAGCTTATTCCTGGCTTCCCAAAGTGGAGCTGCTAGCTGTGTAGAATAATACGTAGGAGTAAGCTAAACATAAATCAGGCGTGGGGAGTAGGGGGTGGGGGCCCATGTGGCCGGTAGCTTTTTGCATTTTTGGGAAGATGTCTTACGTAGCAGCTATTCATGCACTCAGTGCAAAATCACTTTTTTCAGGGCTGTGCCTCTAACATAAAGTGAGAGAAGCCTCTTGGACCCCTGCTAGTTTGCCTGTCAGACTCAGCCTCTTTCTCTGCTTTCCCATGTGTGGTTGAATTGGCTAGCTCTGATCCAGCAGGGGAGGAAGCCATTCCAGCGGAGAAAGGGCTTCTCCAAGCTCCTGGAGGGTAATACTTCCCTCACGACCAAGGTTTTAGAAACACAGACTGTCCCTCCCTCATGGGCAGCTGGGTGTCACAATGTCAGTCTGTTTGTTCCCTGTAGGCGAAAGACAAGGACCGTTGGCTCAGGCTCTTTTCCCAGTTCTGTAACAAGACAGCCAATGAGGAGGAGGAGATTGTCCACAAACTCCTGGGGGACAAATTCAAGGTCAGTCTCCTCCTATGACATCTCTTCCCTCCCACAAAAGTCTGACATGTCTGTGGCTATGGGTGAGGAGCTCTGCATTTGGTCTTCTCCCAGCTATAGGAAATGATTAGAACCTGGGCCCTCAAATCCATTCAGAGGCCATACGTTCTTGGTGCTGTTTACACTTGCAGACCTGATGTGCACCTAAAATTGGGAAGTATGAAAGTGGGATGGTGGCAGAGGAACAAGGGCTCAGATGCCTTGCCATGTGTGTGCTTTATGTGGCATTGCAAGGCAAGTGCCTTGTCAGAGGATGACAGTGGGCAAACCAGGCCCAGTGGAAAATGGAAGGTTGGGGTGTACAAGGTTTGAAAGCAGTGGGTACTGCTGTACTCCTTGACCCAGTGTACTACCTGCCCATTCCCAGGCAAAGAATGTATATTCGCCCTGGGGACAGCAGGCTTCCATCCAGGGTTGGCTGGATGAAGTCTGCTGTGTGAAAGGAAGGTGGGTGGGCTGGGCCTCCCGCACTGAATTCTGAGGAAGGGAGAGCCAAGTCAGGCTGAGGGCTGGGGCCAGGTGGGTCTGAAAGTGGTCCCGAGGACACAGGCTCTGCTGCTACAAGGACTTGGAAACGAGGAGATATTTGGATTGAGCCCTTAGCTTAGAGCAGGCCAGTAGCCTGCCAGAGATCCCAGGAGGGCAGGGGGCGCCATCTGCAGAGCTGGCCCTGTCCCTTTCCGTTGTCTTCTGGGCCCTGTACCTTTCTGTTGTCTTCTGGGCCCTCCTGGAAACTTCTGTGGGGACTACTACAGCTCCCTGCTTCCTCTGTCCCAGGGCCAGCTGGAACTGCTGCGGAGACTCTTCACTGAGGCCCTTTATGAGGAAGCGCTCAGCCAGGTGAGTGTGGGAGGGTGGGACCATGGTTGCCACCAGGAACACCTGCCCCCAGGATAGTCCAGCCAAAGCCAAGCTGGGTCTTCTGGAGTCAGGAGGACTGACAGGAGAAAAGTAAGCTGCTGAGCCATCATCTCCTCTCCCTTTCACAGTGGTTCACTCCAGATGGATTCCGGTCTCTCTTTGCTCTGGTTGGGACCAATGGCCAAGGGATCGGGACCAGGTTAGGAGAGATGTTGAGTGGTGGGATTGGTCCCTTAGTGGGGAGATTGATTCAGGAAGGTAACCACAGCTCCTTCCAAGACTGGGGTGGAGTAGTGTGAATGCCAGAGAGCACTGAACTGGACACAGCAGTGGCAGTCAGTGAGGCAGTGGGGTCTGCCCTGGGTAGCCTTGGCTTGCTGGAGAAATGGGGTGGCAACAGGAGACCCCTTTGCCTGGAGTTGGGGAGCTCTGTGACCTGTGCTGCTTGCTTTCCATTCACGGCCTGCCTGGCCCCCAGCTCCCTGAGCCAGTGGGTCCATGCTTGTGATGCCCTGGAGCTGAAGCCTCAGGACCGCGAGCAGCTGGACGCCTTCATTGACCAGCTGTACAAGGACATCGAGGCAGGTTGGTGAGACAGGGCCTGGGCTGCCCCCAGCCTTGGAGAGCCCCCAGACAGGTGGCCAACACAGTGTCTCCCGGGGTGTGCTCAGTAGTGAGGGAAGGGAATTTCTTCTGTACCTGTGGGGAGCCTCGGGTTTGCCCACAGGATACACAATCAAGAAACAGCTCCAAGCTCCATCCAGAGGCTCCATGCTGGAAGGGGAGTACTGGACAAATAGGGTGATGTCACAGACAGAAGAGCAGGACTTGTGCCTCAGCAGAAGCTGAGGTGAAGTGGTAGGGGCTGGGTGCCTTAGTGTGGTGGGGAAACAGGAAATGAAGCCAGTACCATCCTTGCAAGCCTAGTTTCCTATGTGTAAAATGGCTAGACTAACATCTGTATATTACCATTTTGCAGCGACTGGTGAATTTCTTAACTGTGAAGGATCCGGCCTTTTTGTACTTCAGAGCTGCTGTGAGTTCTGGCCCAGAGGTCTGCCTTTCCTGGTTGGCCTCCTAACCTCAGGTCACCTTCTTTGCTGGCCCTTTCTAGGCTGATAGGCTTGATGCTGGGAACTGGGTTGTCTTGTCTTTCCCTTTTCCTTTTTTCCTTCCTTCCTTTGGCTTGTTCGTCAATATGTGCATAAGCTTTACAGTGGGTCAGCCTCCATGCTGAGATGGGCACAGAGCTGTCACTCTTGGCATCCCTTCAGAGCCCTGACCCTCCATGTGCCAGGCAGTGGGAGTGTGGCTGAGCCTGGAGCTGGCTGGTCACGGCAGGTTGCAGTGAGGAGTGATGAGGGAGTGTGCTAGTACCTGTGCTCTGTGGCCTTTGGGAAAAAGCACGGGCTGGGGAATCAAGAAGTAGGATTTAGGCCCTGCTCAGCCTGGATTAGGGATCAGAGCAAGGAGTTACAGGATCAGTATTCTGCAGAATTAAAGCTATTTTTTAAGCCAGTAAGCCTTATCACCTGTCTCTTGTGATCCAGGCAACCACAGCTGTGTCCCCAATGCAGAAACCTCCTTCCCAGAAAACAACTTCCTCTTGCATGTCACCGCCTTGGAGGATATTAACCCAGGAGAGGTGAGGGGTCAGGGCTGCTGAAAGATTGGGTGGGCAATGGGCCTTATAGGATCTGGAGTGGTGGTGGCTAAACCCCGGAGGGCACAACCTGTTGGGTTCAATTTCTGCATGTCTGTCGGTTCTCATTTCTTGGCTCATGGGTAAGTACTAATCCTACCCCAATTAAACAAAAAATAATTCCAGAAAGTCTGAGCAGTGTTTGAGGGACAGCTGTATGCTCAAATTCCTGTCTCTGGCACCTTTCGATCAACAGATATATAACTTTTAGGAAAGCAGAAGGTAACAGTGTCTTTAGTCATAGAGTTCTGATGTAGGGGTGGGTTCTGCACCCCGAATACAGTACACAGAGCCCGACTGAATCTTCTTCCAGAGCACACAGGATAAGCTCTGATCCCAGCCACAGACCTTGGCCATCGAGGAGCTTTCACCACAGCCTCTTTTCCATCTTAAACACCTGCTGTTGAACTTCATAATGCCTGCCTGTTAGCTCCTGGGGATGGGGCCATGATTGGAGATAGGGCAGCTGTTGCAGAGCCTCTTCCCGCTTACAGAAAGCACAGAGCATCAGACCCCATCTCTCTCCTCCCCGCAGGAAATCTGTATCAGTTACTTAGACTGCTGTCAGCGAGAACGCAGCCGCCACAGCCGCCACAAGATCCTCAGGTGCCAGTTGCGGATGGGGTTGGGAAACTGGGTTCTGGGTCCTCCAACCCAGCTTCTGTCTAACTTCCCAATCTCACTATCCCCCTACTCTTTCAGGGAGAACTATCTGTTTGTCTGCTCGTGCCCCAAATGCGTGGCAGAGGCTGACGAGCCCAATGTGACTTCGGAGGAGGAGGAGGAAGATGATGACGAGGAGGAGGAAGGAGAACCAGAAGATGCAGAGCTTGGGGATGAAATGACTGATGTGTGATTGTGGCCCTCTCTGGAAGGGGCTCTGCCAGATAGGGGACCCTTCCTTCAGAGAGGAGACATGGAAGAATTCCCACTCCTGTTGCCTGCTTTCCCCTTCCAGCTCTCTGTGCCAGAGAGTAGCATGGAGTCTGGACCCCAAGCCTCCCATCCTTACAAGAACACACGCCCTGGACACTGCTGCTGAGTTGGCTCAGGACCTGCACTGTCACTGAGGCTTTCCTTTGGCCCACCTCTAGGTTCTTGTGCCATAGAGTGTGAGGGCCAGGGGCCAGGCTCCAGACCTAACAGCGCTTGTTCCCTGCGGCCCATGCTTGCCATTCACGGGGCTGCTTCCTAGCTCACTTGCTGTTGTAAATCTGAGAAGAGGCTAATTTCATCAAAGCAGACGGGAAGTGGTGAGGCACCCTTCTGCTTCACCTCTGCTTGCCATGGCTATAGCTGGTAAGGCAAATTGCCTGACCACTAGCCCAGTGTGGGAGAGGTAGAAAGAACTGGGCCTCTAGGTCACCCACCCTTGGGCTCTTTGCTGGGGAAGGCTGGTCCAGAAGGCTCAGCTCCCTCCTTGGGACACTGGGAGCAGTGGCGACTAACCTCTTCCCTAGACTTCAGAATCTCTGTACCTTGTGCCTTGTCTCTTAGGCCCTGGTACAATAGTGGCTCTGTCAGGCACAGACGAGGCCTCTGTCTTCTGTGGGAGGGGTCTGCAGGGGAGTACCACCCTTTCTCATGTCCTCTTCCTCCTGAGGACTTGAGCAGCATGGCTGAACTTGGGGGATGACAGGCTTCTGCCCTTTCATCTCAGATCTCCAGTCTTCCCTAGAGCCAATTGAGATGGGTCAGTGAAGGGCTTGCCTGGCTCCAGTCTCTGTTTTCAGGGAAGAACTCTCATGTCTTCCAGAAACCTAGAAGAAGGGCTGGATATTTGGAGATCATCTCCCACTGTGTCCTTGTTTGCCCCATGTGAGCACCACATCCTCCCAGCCTGTGGTTGGCTGCTGTGGAAACTGCAGCTCTCACTCCTAATTCCTTCCTGCCAACTTGCCCCGAGGGGCTTGCACATCCCTTTGCTTGAGGGATCAGGGAGAATGGGTACCCACCCATAGGTCTCCAGGATCATGGAGCCCAAGGGAACCCACCTGGCTGACACCCTACCTGTTGGGTCATTACTCCTTCACAGTCGCCAACACCTTGGCCTCACCTGCCCACTATTCTCAATAAAATGTGAGTGGTGACAGGCCTCTGCAGGAATGCATTGTGGAGAATGGCTAGACTGCCCAGGGCATACAGCAGTCATAGGGGAAGGGAGGGGAGACAGGTACAGGTTAGAACAAACAGTGGCAGATGGGGGCCCCAGGACCCCCAGAGTGGGCCCATCCTCTTGTCTCATCTGCTTTCTATCATGCCAGTATACCCAGTGCCCAGAGCAAGGGACCACAAAGATCTGTTTTGGCTACAGAATGACTGCTTCCCAGTGAACTGAACTATATAGTTCAGCTCTTGGGCAGGAAGCTATGTTGGGATTTGAGAACAGCAGTTTTAGCTTGGGTCCTCTTGGCCCGTTCCCTTCCTTCAAGATGCTAGTTTGGGTCCAACCAAACAGTAAGCTTCTCCTACTTCACATGCTTATTCTAGGACACAGTTGTAACCCCAGTAAGGCAGTTTTATTGCTAAAAAGTCAGTGAGGGTTTATTGAGCCTCCAAACCAGTTCCTTAAACCACTCCAGCAACTGCTATGAAGGTTATCCGTGAGAAGATCCTGGGCTAGGGGAGGGGTTAGAACCAGGTGGCATGTGACAGGTCACATAGATGGCTCTCAGGCTGCCAGCCATTAACTCCATTTGGTCCAGATTCCAGCCAGAAGCCTAGGGTCCTGGATCTTGCCACTTCTTGTAGCATGAGGCCTCTTTGGCCCTGTGGAAAGGGAATGCCAGTGGTTTGGCTTCCCTTAGCCTGGCCAAGGCCATTTTCTTCAAGTCAGTTCCACTATCCCCACATGGTCTTCCAAAATTGCAAATAGCAGAATTCCAGTTTCCCTTTTCTAGCCCACAGTCTCAGGGCTGAAGTGTGGGAGCAAGTCTTCTACCAGAAGGTCCAGGGTGGCTGTAGCAGCTCAAAGGTGGGTATGCTGGTGACATTGACTGGGATGGAAATGATGGCCCATGGCAACCCATGCTGTTCCAGGGAGCGGCGGATCATGTAGCTGGGAGGGCATGAAGAAAGCTGGTGATGGTCACTTTCTCAGCACCCCCAACATGTCCCACTGACCCAGTTACTGGGAGTTTCAGAACCTAGAACATTTTTTGGCCCCCAACTGGGGTACCCCAACATGAAGCCTGTAAGAAGGGACTGGTGCTTACCCTTGACCTTATTGAGACAAAGCACCTCACAGGTGCTGCTAAAGCTACAGGCAAAGAGCCCTTACCCATCTCGGCCAAGCAGGAAGAGGGCCGGGATGTCAGCCGTACGCTGGGTGCTGTCCTGGATCATCTCCACGTAGAAGCTGTCATTGTCCACTGCGTTGTCCGAGATTATCACTGCCCGTCCACCGTGCTCCTGCACCACCCGGGTCTTGGAGAGGAAGGAGCAGCCCCTGGAAGAGGTGATGATGAACCCTGGGACAGGTGGCTAACCCCCACCTTAGACCAGCACCCTGGGAGAATGAAAGGGGGATCATGAAGAATCTGGAAAGCTCCTAAGTTGGCAGCTAAAAGCACCCTTGGAAAGGTGAATGATTAGAAAGCTATTTCAAAGTAGCACCACTGACAAGCATCTTGGAGTCTACCCCACGCCAGTCCGCTCCTTACCCCCTCTCCACCAAAGCGATCTGATCCTGGATGAAGAAACCGTTGTTGAGTTCCCCACAGGCCTCTGGAGGTTCGGCAGGAACAAGGTGAATCTGCTCATACCTTGTGTGCTGGAAAGTTAGACATTTGGACAGGTGAGCATAGGGAGGCACACCTGCTCACCTGGAGGACTGGGCTGACTGCCCAGGCTTTGTACACACCTTGTAAAGTGTGGTGTAGTTTCTCACAGAGGTTTGGTTGTCATACCCCCATACAGGCTTTCCATGAGATAAGGGGTGTTGGTTGTAGACCCCAAGGAGGGCAAACCACTTACACGGAGGCATAATGCAGGGGTAGAACAGGCAGTGAAACCTAGTGCCCTTGTCACGGCTTTACCCCCCACCCCCAAACACCTTGTTTCTCTGAGGTGCCTGGGTCTATTCAGGGAGTAGTGGGACGTGTGTCCTTCCTCTACTCTGCAGCTCCTGGATTCTGCTCCCTTCCCTATCCTACCACTCAGGTGGGATGAGAGCAAGGCCAGGGAAAGGCTGAGGATAACCTATCTGCCTCTCTGGACTTACAAAGATACCACCAAAGTCCTTGGCAGGCGTGGCTGTGAAGATGTATCGGATGTCCCCAGGGCTCAGCACTTGGAAGTACAAATAGTCATGGACACGTAAGCCTGAAGGATAAAAAGAGTACAGATGAACAGCCTCCTGGGGAAAAAGCAGGTGCAGCTTCCCAACATGGGCCCTATGTCTTCCTATAGGCTGGTTATAACCATGCCTGTGTCCCCCTGCCCAGGAGGTGCACTGGGAGGACAGAGTTGAGATTTATCTTTATCTGTGCTGCTGTCGCTTACTCAGGAGAGTCGGGAGGACAGTCATAGGGTTATTCCATCTTTGGAATGGGCCTGGGAGTCTCAGGGGGAGGTGTGGTCGTTGTGGCAGGCATTTTGCTCAGTGGTTAAGACACTGGGGGTAAGACTACAGCCTCCACTTGAGTACGGGATTCAAGTCCTGCTGCAGGCTCAGGATTCCGTATCCTTATAGATGCAGACTCTGGGAGGCAGTGGTAATGGCCCAAGCTCCCCACATGGGAAACCTGCATTGAGTTCATGGCTCCCAGTTTCAGCCCGGCCCAAGCATTTGTGGAGCGAACCAGCAGATAATATCTTCCATCTGGTTCCAGTGCTGTACCCCTAGCTAAGCCACTATCATCTCCTGTCCTGAATATTCCAGATTCTTTTTTTTTTTTTTTTTTTTAATATTCCAGGTTCTTAACTCTTCTATCTGGCTGCATTCTTGCTCTCAGGTCTACTGCCCAAACAACCACCAGTGAGCTTACAGCATCTTAGCAATTAGCTTTCATACTCTCGGCGACTTTGCATTTAAAACCTAAACTGTTCATTGTGGCCCATAAAACCCTGCTTCCTCTGTCATTGGCCACTGCTCTAGCTGCATCTGTGTTCAGGCCACACCAGTTCAGTTTCTCACTTCAGGTCTTCCCACAAGCCTTTCCCTTTTCCTCAGAAGTTTCCCTGTTGACACTCCCATTTTACTTACTTGCCTCATTCCTACTTACCCTTGAGTCACAGCTTAAATGCCATTTTCTCATATATATACATACGTGTGTGTGTATACATACAAATTATTTCAAAGAGCAAAAAAGGGAGGAGGAGACAGTGGGAGGAGAGGGAAGGGCTTGCATCCACTATTTATTCCCCAAATTGCTACAACCACCAGGTCTGGGCCAAGCAGAAACCAGGAACTGCATCCTGGTGACCCACATGGGTGGCAGGGGCCCAAGCACTTGAGTCGTGTTCTGCTGCCATCCCCAAGCACACTGACAGGGAAAACTGCCATGAGATTCCAACTGGCTTTCAGATAAGGGATGTTAGTGTTGCAAGCAGTGGCTTAACGTGCCATGCTGCAATAATGGCCCCACATGTCATTCTCAGAAATCTGTCTCTGTGATTGCCCTTCTCTGTTCAACCAAAATGTGCTTCCGCCCCCCCCCGGCCCCCATTGATACTTTCAACATGATTTACAATACTGTTTACAGGACACATGATATTTTTATGTTTGCCTCTTCCACTAGGGCGAGAATGGTAAATCTGTAGCCTCAGTTAATGATTGAATCTCCAGTGCCTCCCTTAGTGGTCAGGCTAGAGGAGGTGTTCCAGCTTGAATAAACAACTCCATCCAGCTCCACTGGCACCCAGCAAGAGAACTGCCAGAACAACCAGATTTTTCTGGGACACAGGAATTTCTCTACAGCTTCCAAATTTATGTCATACTTAGATTTGAGTCCCTGGTTTTCTTATTAGCCCAGAGGAACTAAAAAATGTTGAAGGCTGGAAGCTGCAACCAGTTAACAAGCTACCAAGGGACTCTGCTATGTACCAGGGTTGGAACTGACGTTAGCTGGCCTGGTGTTAACTGGCCAGGCTGCACAGCCTTTCCTTCTGGAAGTGAGGGTCCCCTAGTCAAGACACAGGAAGCCTTTCTAAATTAACCTAAAACACCCGGTCCTCTCCCCACCAACCCTTGCTTGGCCTCTGTGTGTGCTTCTCAGTGTAAACTGTGGGCTCTAGGTGCATACTCACGTGTGTGCAGGTGTACACGTGTATGTGATCGTGTCAGTGCGGACCAGCTGTGTGGAGGCGTGAGCTTGTGCGTGTGTGTCCACGTGTAGCACTGTGTGCCGCTGCCTGTGTAGTGAACGCTCACATACATATCTCTGGCTGTCTTCCCGTACCTGCTGGTCGCACCCGAAATCCCCCAGGCAGGCGCCAGCTGAGGGATGAGGGAGGTAGGAGAGGGGTCGAGGGGAACTGCTTTGGCATGGGGGCGTGGAAAGCTGCAAGCCCAGCGCCCAGCTTCTGTCCCCGGGGACCAGCGTCGCCTCACTCCAGCTTCTGTCTCCGGATCTGCCCTTTTCTCAACTTGCGGGGGTCCCCAAGGTGACCCGTGCACGCTCACACACACCCACCCCCAGCGGCCCAGGACGCGCGCCCGGTGGACGGCCAGCCCCACCCCGATGCACGGCCCCGCCCGTTGCCGCTCACCGTGGGCCGCGAGGCACGCGGGGAGCCACAGCACGAGACAACACCAGCCCGCGGCGCCGGGGACCATCTCCAGGGCCCGGCCGGGCGCCGCGTTTCCTGCCGGGGTCCGGCCGCGCGTCCCTCGTCGGACTTTTCGCCTGACAGCGGCGGTGGCCTCCCGCCCACAGACCCGCTCTCGCGGCTGGTTGGCGGACGGAAACGAGGCCCAGGGGTGATTGGCTCGGGCGGCTGCCCATATAGCCACACTCACTGCCACTGCCTCGTAGCCCACTTCTTATTGGCCGAGAGAAGTGGGGCCGAGGGTTCATTGGTCTAGACTCTTAATAGCCGCTGCTGGCTTCCACCTTAGGCCCGCCCCAGCGTTCCTAGTTTGTAGCCGACCGTACTGGACAGCGCTTGCGGGCGGGCCGACTTGGGCAGAACCGTGGGCCGGAGGTGGGATTCCCTGCATGATTCGCTTCATGCCGTCGGTCAGCCCCTGACTTGGCCGTGGCCGCCTTTAAACGAAGATCGGCTGTCTTCCAGGCTGCCCCCTCTTGGAGAGGCTTCCGTCGGATGTCCACTCCGGCCTCCGCTTCACTCCTCCGTGTGTGACTGACACCTCGCTTAGCTCCAGTTCCCTTGTCTGTAACACAGGCACCTCAGCAGCACCCGTTGTGAAGGGGAAACGAGATCACTCTCGAGACGTGCTTGTAGCTTAAGCCTGGCCCACAGTCGGCGGCCATTAAACGTGTGGAGAGCATTCCTTGGTCTGGCGTTCGGGGTCGGAGAGGATTAAATCAGAGTGAGCAGGTGACCCGGGCCGAGCAGGGACTCCACTAAGGCCGACTGAAAAGGAGCCACCCTCCGATTGCTAACGCTGCTCGCTAGAGCGCCCCGCGAGCCCGGCTGCCTTTCTAGCCACGGCGACTCTGTGGTAGCGAATCAGCGAGTGGCGGAAGCGGCCCGCCCCCTTCCTCCCGGTCCAACGGCCTGGCGAAGCTTCTGGGAAGTTCTCTGACGCGAGGCATTGTGGGCTTGCTGGGCGGCCCGGACGCAGAGGAGAGAGGAGGAGGAGGCGTAGCGGGCTACTGAATAAGCTTTCAAGATGATGGTGAGTGGCTTCTGGCGCATCCGTCGGCATCCGCGGGCATCCGCTGCCATCTGGCTGATGTCTGGGACGCCCGGCTTAGGACTTGTCCTATAGGACCCTCTCTTGCCTTCAGCCTCCGTCCACGCCCGGGTTTGTAGCCCTTGGGCGTCCCCAGCCTTTCGCGGCCATTCTTCCCGCGGGCACGGAGCAGGAGCCGTTAGCAAAGGCTGGTGTGTGGCTCCAGTCCGTGATCGGGCCGACTTGGAGACTACAAGTCCCAGGGTGCCTTGGGGCCACGAACCCGCGTAGGGAACCCCGTTTTCGGCTCTGCGACCCCGCAGTCCTGACCCGCGTGCCAGACGAGTGCGGGTGGGGTGTGCGGATTTGGAAACGCGGGACGGAAGAACGCATGCTTCCTAGAACCTGCAGGGCCAACCCCAGGGTTTCAATGTGGGATGGCTGTGCCGCTGACCGACTGCAGCCGCATGCATGGAAGCCAGATTCCCCTGCTCGTACTTTAGTTCATGCACTCAGTCAATAAACGCATGTGTAGTGCTTCCTGGATGTACCTGTGCCTAGCTCGTGGTTGGGCGTGCCGTGTCTCAGCTAAGACGAAACGAAGGGGTGTAAATGGGTGCAATGCATTAGAGGGGCGAGGACCTGACTCGGGTGATGTTGGGCTTTTCGGTAGCTGGCTGCCTAACTCGGGGGCCTGTTTTCGTGTGTGTGTGTGTGTGTGTGTGTGTGTGTGTGTGTGTGTGTGTGTGTGTGTGTGTGTGTGTGTGTGTGTGTGTGTGTGTGTGTGTGCGCGCGCGCGCCTGTTTTCGTGTGTGTGTGTGTGTGTGTGTGTGTGTGTTCGTTCGTGTTCGTTCGTTCGGGGGAGGAGTGGGGGAAGAGGTGAATTCCGGAAGTTCCTCAGAAGGTCCCTGTATGTCTGCAAAGCCCTTCCCCTTTCGCCCCTTTTCTCCCTTTGGAACTTGCTGACACCTGTGTGGAGGAGAAGCGCTCTTCCACTGTTTCCCTCCCTAAGTGGCTGGAGCTGGACCGCTCAAACGCCAGGCGCTTTCCTCCAGGTCTCTCATAGGTGTGGGGGCCCAAGTCATGTGCTGCTGATTTCCTAGGAAGGTCAGTAGGTAGCAGAATGGCATGTGGGGCAGCCAGGAAGCGCCGTAGGTGGCAGCTTTGCCCGCTGTGCCCCCATCGCGTCTCCAAGCAACATCTTAACTGCTGCATCAAATGCCTGCCTTTCCCCCAATCATTACTTCATTCCTGAATTCCCAGAGACCTGGAAAACAATCCAAGTCTTCCTTGTGGGTGACAGGGACCCTGTTAGTTGAGGCATCACTGCATGGTTTTTGGGTCTGCATTCAGGAGGTTGTTGTCAGGAGATGGGTGTCCAGCCCCTGCTCTCCCACTGTAAGCTGACCTGAGGTCCTCCAACATGGCACAGGCCCCAGAGAGCAGCGGCTCAGAGTGGGCGGTGGAGCCACACTGAATGCCCAGCTTCATTGCCGAGCTATGTGACTTGGCCTCTGACCATCAGTCCCAGGGTGTAGTAAATACAAGCAAAGCATCTAGCCTGCAGGTGCTGCTGCTTGCTGCCTTTGCTCCTGTGCTGTGTATCCTGCAGCGGGGCCACCTTACGTGCTTTAGCTGGCGTTGGGAGAACTGGCCATCAGAACGAAGGTTCTCCTGTGCCTGGGTGGGCTCTGCAAGGAGCTCTGGACCACCCACACTGGTGTGTCCCTCAAACAGATCCTTGCACTGTTTGACTCCCTGCTGTGTTTCTCTCATTCTGGGATGTGAATCTTCTGTTGCTAACAATCTGCCTTGTTTTTGCTTAGCACGTTGGTCTTTTGTATTCTGGAGCTGTCTGATGCAAAGACGTGTAAAAGAGCCCCTAAAACCTGGTTCCTGTGATTTTGATATACAATGTGCAGTCTTCCCTTCGTGGCGCCTAGCCCTGTGTGCTTTGTATATACAAACCTGATCTTATTTTAAATGACATCAGTCATAATAGGCTTCGTAAAGGTTTTTATTATTATTTATTTATTTATTTATTTTTATTTGAAAGGTTTACAGAGAAGGAGACACAGAAAGATCTTCCATCTGTCAAGTCACTCCCCAAATGGTTGCAGTGGCTGTAACCGAGCCAGTCTGAAGCCAAAAGCTTCTAGGTTTTGTACATAGGTGGAGGGTCCCAAGGACTTGAGCCATCCCTCAGTGCTTTCCCAGACCACAAGTAGAGATTGGGTCAGAAGTGGAACAATTGGAACAATACCTACTATGGGTTGCTGATATTAGCAGGCAAAAGGTTAACCTTTTGAGCCACTGCACTGGACCATATGTTTCTGGGGGGGGGGTGTTTTTTTTGTTTTTTTAAAGATTTATTTTTTTATTAGAAAGGCAGATATACAGAGAGGAAGATCTTCCGTCCGATGATTCACTCCCCAAGTGAGCACAACGACCGATGCTATGCCGATCTGAAGCCAGGAGCCTCTTCCGGGTCTCCCGCGGGTGCAGGGTCCCAAAGCCTTGGGCCATCCTCGACTGCTTTCCCTGGCCACAGGCAGGAAACTGGATGGGAATCAGGGCTGCCGGGATTAGAACCGGCACCCATATGGGATCCCGGGCGTGCAAGGCGAGGACCTTAACCACTGCGCCACTGCGCCACCGTGCGGGGCCCCTCTATAAGGTTTCTAAAGAGGATAAAGAGGACAGTCATTAAACTGATATTCTGGGGCCTAGTGCAATGACTACATCATCACCTTGCAAATGCTGGGATCCCATACGGGCACCAGTTATATCCTGGCTGCTCCACTTTCCATCTAACTCCCTGCTTGTGGCCTGGGAAAGCAATAGAGGATGGCCCAAAGACTTAGGACCCTGCACCCACGTGGGAGACCTGGAAGAAGCTCCGACTCCTGGGTTCAGATTGGCTTAGTTCCAGTCATTTCAGCCATTTGGAGAGGGAACCAGAAGATGGAAGATCGTTCTCTTTTTTAAAACTTTATTTCTTTACTTATTTATATTGGAAAGATTTATGGAGAGAAGGTTTTCCATCTACTCATTTACTCCCCAAATGGCTGCATCAACCTGGGCTGGGCCGGGCCAAAGCCAGGAGGCAGAAGTTTCTTGCTGGTCTCCTACGTGGATGCAAAGGCCATTGTGGCCAGTATCTGGTACTTTCTTAGGTCATTCATTGGTAAAGGTTGAGAAGTGGAGCATGAAGGACCTAAACTGTTGCCTGTATGGGGTGCCAGCATCACAGACAGCAACTTAACCCTCTATACCACAATGCTGGCCCTATCAGTTGATAATCTTGCATGGCTCATGAGTGATGTTAGAAGTGTCTAAATGGGCCTTGGCAGAAAAACAGGTTCCTATCTCTGCTTTAGAACCTCTCAAAGCTCAGAAAAGGTTGGGAAATGCGTGGACTGTTTCAGAGTCCTTTCTTTGTGCTTCTAAGTTCTCGGTCTTTTTTTTTTTTTAAGATTTATTTATTTTTATTGGAAAGGTGGATATACATAGAGGAGGAGAGACAGAGAGGAAGATCTTCCATCCGATGGTTCACTCCCCAAGTGAGCATAACTACTGGAGCCGAGCCAATCCGAAGGCAGGAGCCAGGAGCTCTTCCAGGTCTCCCACGTGGGTGCAGGGTCCCAAGGCTTTGGGCCGTCCTCCACTGCTTTCCCAGGCCACAAGCAGGGAGCTGGATGGGAAGCAGGGCCACCAGGATTAGAACCGGTGACCATATGGGCCCCAGCACTTGCAAGGCAAGGATTTTAACCACTATGCTATCATGCCGGGCCCAGTCTTTATTTCTTTTAATTGATGTGTTTTTATTTGAGTCAGACACACAGAGCTTCATTGCTGAATGTAATGGTTTGGGTTAGAGCAGGCGGAAGCTAGAAAGACCCAGTTACTCCTAGGGTGCACACAGGCAGGAAGCTGGAATCGGAAGCAGATTCAAGGGTTGAGCCGAGGCATTTTGGTTTAGAATATGGGCATTCCATCTGGGTAGCTTAACTGCTACGCCAGAAGCTGTCCCACAGAGTCACCATATTGTCAGGGTTGTTTGTTTTTAAGCCAATAAGTCAGTACCTTCATGGCTTATATCAAGCACTTTCAGATAACTGTTGAGTTTTCACCAAAAGCTGCTGAATATTGCTTCATGTGGGCCAAATCATGGCACTCTACAAATTAAGAACCTTACTCTGGCACTTACCTTCCAAGTTTTTATTTTAAGCTAAGTTGTGGGGGGATTGTATTGTGGCGCAGCACCAGCATCCCAAATGGCCACTGATTCAAGTCCTGGCTGCTGCACTTCCAGTCCAGCTCCCTGCTAATGCCCTAGGAAAGCAGCTGTGCAGACCAATTGCTTGGGGGTCTCTGTACCCATGTGAGAGCCATGGGAATATGCCTGGCTTTGGCCTGACCCAGCAGTGGTCACTGGGGAATAAACCAGTGGATAGAAGACATCTCTCCTTTTTTCCTCCTCTTTTTCTAATTCTGCTTTCAGATTAAATATAATTAATCATAAAAGACTGAGACCAGGACCCGGTGTAGTAGCCTGGTGGCTAAAGTCTTTGTCTTACATACACTAGGAACCCATATGGGCACCAGTTTTAATCCTGCCATTTCTGGAAAGGCAGATATACAGAGAGGAAAGATGGAGAAAGATCTTTGTTGCTGGTTTTACTCCTCAAATGGCCACAATGGCTGGAGCTGAGCCAATCTGAAGCCAGGAGACTGGAGCATGCTCTATGTCTCCCACGCGAGTGCAGAGTCCCAAGGCTTTAGGCCATCCTCGACTGCTTTCCCAGCCCACAAGCAGGGAGCTGGAAGGGAAGTGGAGCAGCTGGAATGTGAACCAGCACCTGTATGGGATCCTAGCAGTTGCAAGGCAAGGATTTAGCCACTAGGCTATTAGGCCGGGCCAGCACCTGCACTCCCTGCTAATGGTAGACCTGAAGAAGCTCCTGGCTCCCAGCTCTGGGTGCTGCGGCCATTTGGAGAGT